TATGCAGTGAAGGGCATTACTGTGTTTTAACGCAGTATAGGGCAAGGCTGTGTCTATGCAGTGAAGGGCATTACTGTGTTTTAACGCAGTACAGGGCAAGGCTGTCTATGCAGTGAAGGGCATTACTGTGTTTTAACGCAGTACAGGGCAAGGCTGTGTCTATGCAGTGAAGGGCATTACTGTGTTTTAACGCAGTATAGGGCAAGGCTGTGTATATGCAGTGAAGGGCATTACTGTGTTTTAACGCAGTGAAGGGCAAGGCTGTGTCTATGCAGTGAAGGGCATTACTGTGTTTTAACGCAGTATAGGGCAAGGCTGTGTCTATGCAGTGAAGGGCATTACTGTGTTTTAACGCAGTATAGGGCAAGGCTGTGTCTATGCAGTGAAGGGCATTACTGTGTTTTAACGCAGTATAGGGCAAGGCTGTGTCTATGCAGTGAAGGGCATTACTGTGTTTTAACGCAGTACAGGGCAAGGCTGTCTATGCAGTGAAGGGCATTACTGTGTTTTAACGCAGTATAGAGCAAGGCTGTGTCTATGCAGTGAAGGGCATTACTGTGTTTTAAACGCAGTATAGGGCAAGGCTGTGTCTATGCAGTGAAGGGCATTACTGTGTTTTAACGCAGTATAGGGCAAGACTGTCTATGCAGTGAAGGCCATTACTGTGTTTTAACGCAGTATAGGGCAAGGCTGTGTATATGCAGTGAAGGGCATTACTGTGTTTTAACGCAGTGAAGGGCAAGGCTGTCTATGCAGTGAAGGGCATTACTGTGTTTTAACGCAGTATAGGGCAAGGCTGTCTATGCAGTGAAGGGCATTACTGTGTTTTAAACGCAGTACAGGGCAAGGCTGTCTATGCAGTGAAGGGCATTACTGTGTTTTAACGCAGTATAGGGCAAGGCTGTCTATGCAGTGAAGGGCATTACTGTGTTTTAACGCAGTGAAGGGCAAGGCTGTCTATGCAGTGAAGGGCATTACTGTGTTTTAACGCAGTACAGGGCAAGGCTGTGTCTATGCAGTGAAGGGCATTACTGTTTTAACGCAGTACAGGGCAAGGCTGTCTATGCAGTGAAGGGCATTACTGTGTTTTAACGCAGTACAGGGCAAGGCTGTCTATGCAGTGAAGGGCATTACTGTGTTTTAACGCAGTACAGGGCAAGGCTGTGTCTATGCAGTGAAGGGCATTACTGTGTTTTAACGCAGTATAGGGCAAGGCTGTCTATGCAGTGAAGGGCATTACTGTGTTTTAACGCAGTACAGGGCAAGGCTGTGTCTATGCAGTGAAGGGCATTACTGTGTTTTAACGCAGTACAGGGCAAGGCTGTCTATGCAGTGAAGGGCATTACTGTGTTTTAACGCAGTACAGGGCAAGACTGTCTATGCAGTGAAGGGCATTACTGTGTTTTAACGCAGTACAGGGGCAAGGCTGTGTCTATGCAGTGAAGGGCATTACTGTGTTTTAACGCAGTACAGGGCAAGGCTGTCTATGCAGTGAAGGGCATTACTGTGTTTTAACGCAGTACAGGGCAAGGCTGTGTCTATGCAGTGAATGGCATTACTGTGTTTTAACGCAGTACAGGGCAAGGCTGTCTATGCAGTGAAGGGCATTACTGTGTTTTAACGCAGTACAGGGCAAGGCTGTGTCTATGCAGTGAAGGGCATTACTGTGTTTTAACGCAGTACAGGGCAAGGCTGTCTTTGCAGTGAAGGGCATTACTGTGTTTTAACGCAGTACAGGGCAAGGCTGTCTATGCAGTGAAGGGCATTACTGTGTTTTAACGCAGTACAGGGCAAGGCTGTCTATGCAGTGAAGGGCATTACTGTGTTTTAACGCAGTACAGGGCAAGGCTGTGTCTATGCAGTGAAGGGCATTACTGTGTTTTAACGCAGTACAGGGCAAGGCTGTGTCTATGCAGTGAAGGGCATTACTGTGTTTTAACGCAGTACAGGGCAAGGCTGTCTATGCAGTGAAGGGCATTACTGTGTTTTAACGCAGTACAGGGCAAGGCTGTTCTATGCAGTGAAGGGCATTACTGTGTTTTAACGCAGTACAGGGCAAGGCTGTCTATGCAGTGAAGGGCATTACTGTGTTTTAACCGCAGTACAGGGCAAGGCTGTGTCTATGCAGTGAAGGGCATTACTGTGTTTTAACGCAGTACAGGGCAAGGCTGTCTATGCAGTGAAGGGCATTACTGTGTTTTAACGCAGTATAGGGCAAGGCTGTGTCTATGCAGTGAAGGGCATACTGTGTTTTAACGCAGTATAGGGCAAGGCTGTGTCTATGCAGTGAAGGGCATTACTGTGGTTTAACGCAGTATAGGGCAAGACTGTCTATGCAGTGAAGGCCATTACTGTGTTTTAACGCAGTATAGGGCAAGGCTGTGTATATGCAGTGAAGGGCATTACTGTGTTTTAACGCAGTGAAGGGCAAGGCTGTCTATGCAGTGAAGGGCATTACTGTGTTTTAACGCAGTACAGGGCAAGGCTGTCTATGCAGTGAAGGGCATTACTGTGTTTTAACGCAGTATAGGGCAAGGCTGTGTCTATGCAGTGAAGGGCATTACTGTGTTTTAACGCAGTATAGGGCAAGGCTGTGTCTATGCAGTGAAGGGCATTACTGTGTTTTAACGCAGTATAGGGCAAGACTGTCTATGCAGTGAAGGCCATTACTGTGTTTTAACGCAGTATAGGGCAAGGCTGTGTATATGCAGTGAAGGGCATTACTGTGTTTTAACGCAGTGAAGGGCAAGGCTGTCTATGCAGTGAAGGGCATTACTGTGTTTTAACGCAGTATAGGGCAAGGCTGTCTATGCAGTGAAGGGCATTACTGTGTTTTAACGCAGTACAGGGCAAGGCTGTCTATGCAGTGAAGGGCATTACTGTGTTTTAACGCAGTATAGGGCAAGGCTGTCTATGCAGTGAAGGGCATTACTGTGTTTTAACGCAGTGAAGGGCAAGGCTGTCTATGCAGTGAAGGGCATTACTGTGTTTTAACGCAGTACAGGGCAAGGCTGTGTCTATGCAGTGAAGGGCATTACTGTTTTAACGCAGTACAGGGCAAGGCTGTCTATGCAGTGAAGGGCATTACTGTGTTTTAACGCAGTACAGGGCAAGGCTGTCTATGCAGTGAAGGGCATTACTGTGTTTTAACGCAGTACAGGGCAAGGCTGTGTCTATGCAGTGAAGGGCATTACTGTGTTTTAACGCAGTATAGGGCAAGGCTGTCTATGCAGTGAAGGGCATTACTGTGTTTTAACGCAGTACAGGGCAAGGCTGTGTCTATGCAGTGAAGGGCATTACTGTGTTTTAACGCAGTACAGGGCAAGGCTGTCTATGCAGTGAAGGGCATTACTGTGTTTTAACGCAGTACAGGGCAAGACTGTCTATGCAGTGAAGGGCATTACTGTGTTTTAACGCAGTACAGGGCAAGGCTGTGTCTATGCAGTGAAGGGCATTACTGTGTTTTAACGCAGTACAGGGCAAGGCTGTCTATGCAGTGAAGGGCATTACTGTGTTTTAACGCAGTACAGGGCAAGGCTGTGTCTATGCAGTGAATGGCATTACTGTGTTTTAACGCAGTACAGGGCAAGGCTGTCTATGCAGTGAAGGGCATTACTGTGTTTTAACGCAGTACAGGGCAAGGCTGTGTCTATGCAGTGAAGGGCATTACTGTGTTTTAACGCAGTACAGGGCAAGGCTGTCTTTGCAGTGAAGGGCATTACTGTGTTTTAACGCAGTACAGGGCAAGGCTGTCTATGCAGTGAAGGGCATTACTGTGTTTTAACGCAGTACAGGGCAAGGCTGTCTATGCAGTGAAGGGCATTACTGTGTTTTAACGCAGTACAGGGCAAGGCTGTGTCTATGCAGTGAAGGGCATTACTGTGTTTTAACGCAGTACAGGGCAAGGCTGTGTCTATGCAGTGAAGGGCATTACTGTGTTTTAACGCAGTACAGGGCAAGGCTGTCTATGCAGTGAAGGGCATTACTGTGTTTTAACGCAGTACAGGGCAAGGCTGTGTCTATGCAGTGAAGGGCATTACTGTGTTTTAACGCAGTACAGGGCAAGGCTGTCTTTGCAGTGAAGGGCATTACTGTGTTTTAACGCAGTACAGGGCAAGGCTGTCTTTGCAGTGAAGGGCATTACTGTGTTTTAACGCAGTACAGGGCAAGGCTGTGTCTATGCAGTGAAGGGCATTACTGTGTTTTAACGCAGTACAGGGCAAGACTGTCTATGCAGTGAAGGGCATTACTGTGTTTAACGCAGTACAGGGCAAGGCTGTGCTGTGAAGGGGCAAGGCCGCCGAACCGGAGCGAGGCCTGGTGGCTCCGTTACCTCGACCCGTGACTACGACATTGATGACGGTGGCGACGGCGGTGGTGGTGATGCTGGTGGTGCTGGTGATGATGCTGGTGGTGGTGATGATGGTGTTGGTGGTGATGATGATGATGGTGTTAGTGGTGATGATGGTGTTGGTGGTGATGATGGTGTTGGTGGTGATGGTGGTGATGATGATGATGCTGGTGGTGATGATGGTGTTGGTGGTGATGATGGTGATGGTGGTGATGATGATGGTGGCGATGATGATGCTGGCGATGATGATGCTGGTGACGATGATGGTGACGATGATGGTGGTGTTGGTGGTGATGATGGTGGTGTTGGTGGTGATGATGGTGGTGGTGATGATGGTGCTGATGGTGGTGGTGGTGTTGGTGGTGGTGATGATGGTGGCGGTGATGGTGGCGGTGACGATGATGATGGTGACGATGATGGTGGTGACGATGATGATGGTGGTGACGATGCTGGTGGTGTGGGTGACGATGGTGATGATGACATCGCCACCGTGCCGCGTAACACACAAACCCCCACTCGCGGTGAACATCATCATCATCGTCATCGCGTGTAACTGAACCCCACTCGCCTCTCCCCCCCTCACCACATCATCTTCTCCCCTCACCACCAAATGTCTCTCACCCCTCACTCCTTCACCTCCTCCTCTTACCTCGTCCACTCCTCGGCGATCAAATCCTCCCCCTCCTCCTCCTCCTCGTCGTCGTCGTCGTCACCCCCACAGCGCAATGTTCACGCAGCCACACGTCCCGGATACGGACGATGATGATGATGGGTGTGTTGTGATGGTGTGTTGTTGATGATGGTGGTGTTGTTGATGTTGTGGTTGGTGACGATTGTCGTCTTTAAACGGTGCCTGACACCGATCACTGTTATTAATATTACTCACGTGTCGCGATGATAGTCGATGTTAGCGAGTAGCCGTTGTCGGCAACGTGATGTGATGTCAATGTTATCCAAGGCGCTGCTGATACCCGTTGCTACTGTATCTTACAACGGAATTGACGATATCGGCGATGCTTTCTGTATCGATGGTAACCACCGACAATATTGATGGCGTTATCGATGACGGTGCAAATTGCGTTCGTGACCTTACTGCCGAGATGCTGCTGGTTGTATGCGTGAAAATAATATCGGTGGATTATTTGGTGATAATTGTTATATTGTCGCTCGCGGTCGCCTTGCCGATGATGAGGTGTTGATGTCTCCGGCCTCCGCACGCCACTCCTCCCGAGGGCCACGCGCCGAGGTGACGTCACCGAGGGGCGGGGCTGGGGAGCTGGTTCAGGGGGGGGGGGGTGGTGAACTCCCCCACCCCTCCACCCACCCCCCACCACCATGTCTCCCAACACAAAGTGGGGAGATCTTTGAGAGACGGTGGCTGGAGACACGAGGAGATGGAGATGCGCGGAGAGAGACACGATGAGATACACGGACAAACAGGCACGCTGCTTGGGAGACATGAATAGAGTAGCGCTGAAATCCACAGAGACATAGAGCGATCCACACACACGCATCAACACGGAGCTAGAGACATTGATACAAAGACAGACACACACACAGATAATAATGCACAGAGAGATGCAAATATACAGAGACACGAAGGGACAGTCAAATATATATGTAAGGAGATACACTCAGATGCAGACACATGAACACACAAAAATGCAGCCATAAAGAATGCAAATATAGACATGGATATGGGTAAAGACACAGAGAGACAAACAGGGAGATATACCTACAATCATTTATGGATGCAATATTAATTGGCTGTTCGATTTAAATTAGATTTTATTAGGATCTAAATTCCAGCGGATATGTGATTCACCACTATTCTTTTTCTAATCAAGGGCCCCTTTAACTGCCAGAGGCCTCGAGCGTTTGCTTAGTTTGCTTGTGCTTTGCGGATTATGATGGTGCACTAAGTGACTCTCTTACCAGCAATTGAACTTGCGACCATTCACTTGTGAGCTCAATGCTCTGACCACAGCAGCACCACCACCACCACCCGAGTTGACACTATAATACAGTGCCAGTTCTTTATTTAGCAAGGACTTGCTGAGTCTCAACACTATTTTTAGGAGGGCCCTGCTCGGGGTATTTATTCAATCCCCTTATTGGTATATATTTGTTCTTGCACAGAGAGAAACCATGGCGCATGGAAAAAAACCCTTCACACGTGGGGAGACAACGTTGAAAATCCGATACGTGATGGACAGACGGGTAACCTACTTTGCTGAAAACTTGTTATCGTGCCCTGACACGGCGACTGGAAATACGATGAGAGGGCACTCAAGAAATAAGGGCCACTCACCAAGACATGGCCAACACAGTCAATCAGCAGGGGTTACTTAACGTCAAGAGCTCAGATTCCTTCATTGCAAAATATTTACTCGAGGTTGACAACAGACTTGAGACCTTGGGGGAATACTGGGCTCAGATTTTCATCCAGGGCCATGTTTACCTCCTACAAGTAGCAGATATTTTTGTTTCTACAAAGCTACACTTTGCATCCTATGACCTTTTAAATGAGGTCATTATATGGAGAGCCTGGCACCTACTAAAGGAACGTGGAATATCCACCAAGCTCATAGGGGAGCTATTAAGTAATGAAGGAGACGCAGGATTTCGGTTTCCTAAGCCACTCAAGTTAACTCAAAATGAGACGTCACCACCACCAGCAATATCCGTTGATGCCACTACAGCTAGCTGTCAATTCCTTCCCTCTGCTAGATCTCGCAGTTTTTGAAAAGTTTAACATTTTCTTTCACGTGGTATTTTAAAAGCATAGGACGAATTTCATGACTGCAGGTAGAGTTTGGAAAAGCCCTTCGATGGCATTTGTGGTCACCATATTGATGATTCCATTTGTACCTCCTGCAAAATAATTTAATCGGGCAATGATTGGGCATGCGAGTAATTGCTTGTACTTCGCCACAGCCAAAGTTAGGCGACTACTTAATTCCCCAATAATTGAGGAAAGCCGCACCTCCCAGGTGTAGTTCTAACACAGTTAAGTGCGGCCCAGTGTCTTCAAGATGAAATTCAGTTGACGGTTGACCTCCAAGGTCAGCTCTTACAGGGGTATCTTCCCCCTTATTCACTAGACCTTATACTAACCCACCCGTAAATTCAAACACTAGCCCTAAAACTAACCATGACCATGTGCATTTATTTATTTATTTGGTATTACTTCAGAGAGCAACACTCATAAATGCGACACTCAAGGTGAATCGACATTGTCAGGTGATGTTGAAACGCCACTGCGACGTGGGCGTTAATTGCGCAGGAGGGGGCAAAAGTCCGCAAGCATTGCAATAAAACAATAAAAATAAGTGCGTATATAAAACAAGACAGGATGTTATACATACACTAAGCTTTCTGCAAATGGTAGATACATGTAACCTTTGCAATCCCAGGTGATGATAACCAACCCCTTTGGCTCATGGGCTCGAAGTTAGTGTTTTTCATTGAAGGACCTGCGGGCCACTGACAGCCCCTGGTGCCTTTAGTGCAAGTCCCTGATGTACGGCCCCCACGACAACACACAACATGTGAAAACATCCCTTGCAGGCTTTGTGACGGCCCACACAACGGATGTCTTATCAACAAAAGCGACCCCCCCCAACCTGCTCTCAGGGAACGTCACTGGGTTGCCATTATGGAGAGAGAATAGCTGATTGAACTCAAAATAGCCCTGTTTGTATTCACGTTGCATAACTTCCCATTTGAGAAACTGAATTTTCTCTTTGCAAACCCACTGTACACACTGTGTTTTTTTTTTCCCAGTAGCTTTGTGAATAAATCTGCGATTGGACAAACTTCGTCACCTGCAGCAGCTTTCTCCTGTTTATTCTTTCACACACTTTCTGAGGTCTTCTTCCCGAAAGGTATATAAAAGTAGTGTTGTTGTTACTGTAAATGTGTTTGTTCAAAATATATATCACGGACATTAATATATAACCTTCCTCGTGAGTAGGTTATATTTTTCGGAAATAATTTTGTATCCATCCTATCAATCGTAATCAAATAAACAGCACTTGGTCAAACTCACACAACTATATTAAACACGGAAATCCCTATCACTGTCTCTGTATCGCAATCCATCCGATGGAGTGAACTACCATCTCAACGAACGCAGGCAGCACCTTCGCTAAACCCCTGCTGGCTGCCACCGAGCCCCAGTGGGCTTCACGCAAGAGCGCCGGCGCCGTACGCGCTCAACAGTCCTCCTCCTCCTCTACGGGCGCCGTCACCGGTGGCCGCTACGGCCCGGGCCTGCTCGACCTTGGCGCGCACGCCCCGCGCGGCCAGTGCCAGCCCGGCGTGTCGCGCGCGCAGCTCCTGCAGGCGCCCGCGCAGCCGCTCGGCGCCGTCCACTGCCACCTCGAGGTCACGCAGCAGCTGGGGGCTCCCCAGCAGCCCCGCACGGCGGCGCAGGCGGGTGTTGTCAGTGCGCAGGGCGTCCCGGGCCTGCTTGGTTCTCGTGAGGGTGTCTCGTCTCTGGTGGCCAAGGTAGGGGGGGAGGGGGGCGGTGGGGTAGAGGAAGTGAGAGGAGAGTTGGGAGAGAAGGGAGAGAGGGGATTGATGGGATTGATGGGTGACAGAGATGAGGGAGGGAAAATGGGTGAGGGGAAAGAGATGGTTGTTGTGGGATGAGATGTAGGGTTCTAGAGCTCGTGTTGTGGATGGACGGAGATGTTTAATGCAAACAAATGGATCATGGGCACATGGACTTAAAGAAATGAAGATAGACAGCTAAACACACAGAGATGTCGACAAACACATGGGGGGTTGATGAACACACAGGACAAAAAAAATACAAAACCAAATAAAAACATATATTGATGTACAATGACAGTCGAGGATGAAGACATGCAAACAGACACAAAAGAAAATTAAAGAACATCTGTAGAGAAAGAAAGACAGCTGGAGAGGAAAAAGAAAAGGTGAATATAGACACAAACAGCCAGAGAACAGAGAAAAAGACTCGTAGGAAGGCAGTGGACAAGTAGACCAATAAACACAAATAGAGGCACACAACTAAACAGATGGACAGACAACTAATAGTGGAGTTGGTGCCAGGCTGCAGCCATTTCTGGGAAACAGCACCACCGCCTGGACCGTGCAGGTGAAGCAGATTCACAATTCAACTGCGGCTACTTCCATGTACAACCCTTCCGCCAATCCACTGCTGGATGACAGCCTCTCCACTTCGTCGGGATCATTTGACCATACTTCACCACGCTGGTCAATGCGGGTTTTCTGAAGGCGTGAGTATATACGTGGAAGCATGGAAGTACAATACAGCAATGGATTTGTTTTACTTCACTGGTTTTCTGTTACCAACTTAAACCATACCTAAAATAGAATAAGAAGTGATGGAAAGTCTCAGTGGGCTCATAATTATAATATTGGTGACACTGAGCTCGCACCATTCGGATTAAAATATTAAGCCATGAAGCATGGTGTGCGTTTCTCTCTCATGAGGTTGATAAGCACTGTTTTGGAGACATTCAGCTAGAATGATTCAGTGTCTGGGTTCAAGCAACATGTATGTTGAACTTCTTTCGCACCGTACGTAGCCAACCGTGCTAATCGGAGCGGTAATGTGCTAAAACGTGGCTGGGTGCCTTTCTCTCTCTCGCTTAGAGGGTTCACAATGGCCACGTCAGAGATAATGAGCAGGCACCACTGAGACCGTGGGTTTGATTCGTATGCTCCCACCCACACTTATCAAGTTTGCGTTTCATTGCAAGCGGATGGGAAAACAGAGGGGTAGGTGTGAGCCTAGCCTGGATACGAGAGGCTATTGAAGAACCTTCTGTTAGTAGTCACACAATGTCATCTTCCGGGGTCGTTCCCCGACTCAAGGTGACGGTCACATGGCTCAACGTGAGAGTTTGCAACAAACGAAGATTCCTGCACTTCATGACACCAAGATGCCGACGGCACAATTGGAATACAGTCTGTTCTCCTATAACGTGTGTTTTCATTAAGCGAATTGGATATAACGCGATGAATGTATTAGGGAACACATTTTTTGTAAAGCATGTGCGAATTGGATATAACGCGATTAAGTGACCAGAACTACGTCGCGCGAGTAAGAATAAGCATCACACAATTCGGGATGCTGCTGGATGCTTGTAGATGCTAACCCACGTGCCTCAGTCTTTGCTCATCCTGAATACGCATCTCACGTGTTATTGTGGACTGTGCTTCACCCTATAGTGTATATTCTTTATTATAACGCGATTTTTCCATAATGCGGTGTTCTTCCAGAATGCAACTACTGCGTTACAGGAGAAAGCAGCAAAACAAAAAAGTAAAGGGAGAGACCCCATCAAATCGCAATGGCTGGTCGCTGCGATACAGGCCCGGTTCACAATGGCCGGCACAGCGCCGTTTCTTCACCCCCGCGCACCTGCGCCACGTGGACCTCGACAGAGGCGAGAGCTGCCCTCTGCTCCTCGTTCTCGACCTGCACGAACTGCAGCTTCTCCTTGACATGCGTGAGCATGTGCACGGTGCACGTGATCTTCCTCCTGAGCTTCAGCAGCTCCTGTGGACAACAATTAGCACGTGTGTGTATGTTGAACTTCTTTCGCACTGTACGTAGACAACCATGCTAATCTGAGGTATGGGGGAAGGACAACAAACTAAACACAAAAAGCAGTTCTAAATAAATGAGCTTTCAATGTGGAGGATTTAAAAGTCCATAGCTCCAGTGGCTTCTTAATGTTGGAAGGAAGAGTGTTCCAGATAGCCGCAAAAGTGCATCTGAAAGTGCGCGATGCAGTGACTGTCTTTGATCGATGGTTAGCCAAAATCTGCTGCGAGGATGACTGGAGTTTGCGTGATGGTCTATGCTCTTTGACGAGCACGGTTGGCTACGTACGATGAGAAATAAGTTCAACATACATACAATGCAGTTCTACAGTTCATCAGGAACTGCTGATGTTTTTTTGTGGAACGTGTGCCGCCGCTGAGCCGAGCCACCAAAATTCACGTGGTCGCCTGAATGTGCGCGTGATCAAAACTTATAATATGATTTACGATTTTATGAGATGCAGCAGACCCTTCAAAGCGCCATACAGTAAAATTAATGAACATTAAATTATAGTTTATCTACCATATCCTCGGAAATAAGTAGATTTAATTTTCTTTCTAAATGAGAGAATCTCAGCGGTCAGGCACAGTTCTTCAAGGCAGTGTTCCAAATCTGAGCCCCAAGGACTGAAAAAGTCCGAGCTCCGAAAGGTTTTTTTTTTCCGAAAACGTGGCTGACAAGAGGAGCATGGTACATGGTGTGTGCATGATCGTCCTTGACTCAAGAGTTGTTTGAGTTTATTTGATTCGTCACATGGATGACCCCTTTTAGCTGGTTGCAAAGATATTTTACAAGGGAGATCCGTGGTGCGTGAGCACAGCAGCAACGACAAAAACGAAATACAAAAACGTCAATATTGCAGAAAATTAATTACACGTTCCTTAAGGAATATTGCACCACTCACAAAAAACGTATCTATCGGTTGCAAAACAAGCGAATTGAAAAAAAACAGTGAAACATAATGCGTGAGGAAGAGGCACCAGAAAAAAGTTAATTGCATTACCAACAACTAGAGTTGTGCCATCTAATTATTTAAGTAACGGATTATCAGTGCGATTACTCGAGTAATCTGATAAAAACGTTAACAGTTGGCAGATTCTCAGCCGTTCCGCATGTGCCACTGGAAGGGAGGTGATGGGTGGGGCTGGGTGACACGCCGGGCGTGTTCTTTAGAGGGTTTCCCAACTTCGGGAGGTCGGATGTCCAGTTAGCCGGCATGATTAACAGGGCCCGAGTAAGTGACCTCAAAGAAAGTCGATTACACTACCGTAAGGTCCTCGTTTAATGCGGTAGATGCGTTCCTGAAAAGTGCCGCGTGAGGCGAAGAACGAGTTAAGTGAAAACAATTTCCACCACAAATAATGTAGCGATAAAGTTTGGCGAGATACAATAGAGTGCGAGTACACAGTGAGATAGCGGGAAAAATAACTGAGAGTATGCCGCCGCGTTACTGTATCATTCCGCGTACCGTATCTTACCACTCAGCCACGCAGATCAAGAAATTAGTTTGTTGTTGACTACTCAGAAACCGCATTATAACGGTGCGCAATCCACGCTATAACAGTGCACGTGTTACGCGCTGTGCGAAAAGTGTTCCCTCATGGAAGAACCGCGTTGTAGCGAACATGCGACACGATGTGTTAACCGAGGCCACGCTGTGTTTACTCATTTAGCTGTCCGAGCTCCACTGACGATTAACCGACCGCGGGCATTTTCTATCGCGGCTGGCCCCCACCTCCCCCCCCTGCCCCTCACCTCGTTGCGCTCCTCCACCTTCTCATTGTAGGTCTGGTTCTCGATCTTGAGCTGCTCAAAGTCGATGAGGTGCAGCCCCTCGCCCAGCTCCTCACGGGACCGCAGCAGCTGCTCCTGCTTCCTCAGCCGGTTCTTCAGCTTGATGTTCTGCAGGCGCACGTGCGCCACCTCCTCCTCCTTGCGCTCCTCGCTCTGCTCCATCTGCTTCAGCTCCTGGAAGAGAGAGTGCTCTCTCCGTCCCATCGTTTTTCGTTTTTTTGCAACACAAGAAGTGCCCGGTCGGTACAAGACATAAACTGCATCGAAAGGCAGGGGGTACAAAAAACTCCACAGACTAAAGCCCGAACTCAGCACACCTAGGTATAACTTGGTGACATAATTCATTATTATCTGCACCTCCGACGAGCACGGTTGGCTACATACGGTGCAAAAGAAGTTCAACATACATACATAGTTAGCCACTGGGCTAACACCACAGTGTGGTAATCACTGCGCCATTGCACCACTATGTTAAAGCCGATGAATATGCTCATTGTTACTTCCTCCAGGTTAGACATTTAATAAATTCATCCCTACCTCCGCCCTCTTCACACTTGGCCCATCATGTACTATGAAGAAGAGCCATCACCCGAAACATCGTCTATTTTATATTAACAGCATACACATCTGATGATGAAGATCATGATCTAGACGGCTATGCTGTGAATCGTACCTTATCATAAATACCAAAAGGTCCCAAACAGTCCTGATAAGGGGCCGATTTTTCAAACAGAATCATCACTGTTTGCTCCTCGAAAGTTGTGCTCAATATAACTTACAGCTGTACTGCATATTGTGTAGAATGAATAAAATAAAACAAAAAGATTATCAGAGAAAGACAGGAGTGTGCATTCGACGACCATAACTTCAATTTCGATTTAAAGCTTTCGTGACTGCAGGGATTCATCTTGGTTCTTTCGGTAAAGTCACGTAGAAGGGAAATAATAAAAGAAAAAGCATTATTAAATTATTTAATTGTGTTTATTTGTTTGCTTTTTATTATTTTATTATTTCCCTTCTATGTGGCTTTACTGAAAGAATAATAAAATAATAAATAAATAAAGCGCGACATTCTAAATTTATTTTATTATGTTTTACTTTTATTTTGTATTATTTTATTATTTCCCTTCTACGTGACTTTACCCAAAGAACCAAGAAGACCATAACTTCGTTACACCGATGATACAAGGTGCGGAGTGTCTAATGTATCACGCTTGCTGGGCAAATACGACATTTAAACTGTCGGTTTAGTAACAAAACAACATGTAACAGGCTGGTGTTTTGAGCAACGGCACTTCTAGCTTATGAAGGTAGTACGTTTTTTCATCAGATGTGCTTGTTTAAGTGCCTTAGGAGGCAATTGCTGCTTTCCTCGTTAGCTGCTGCTTAAAAAAAAAAGATTGTATTATGAAAGGCCTTTGAGCTGATGGATCTACATTTTTGTAAGGCAACTGACCGCTTCCTCATCGTCATTTAGCACCACTACAGACTTATGTACATGCACCACAGGCACAAGACACTAATCAATTTGTGAATCAAGTTGTGATCCAAGAGATGGGGGGGATCACTACGTCCACATCTGATAATTCTCAACGAACCCTTAAGCTGGGCGAGTGGCTGGGACAGTGGTAGCGCTCGGCATAAGCAGACTAAGAAATAGTGTAAGACCCCATGTAGCTAAAGGGCCCCCAGATTCATGAAATAAGTAGTGATGCACCAAATATCAGCTCGAAATAAACATAAACAGCCAATTAATTAAATATGAACAAACAAGCCAATCTCATTCTAGATTTGAAGCTTTCGTGACTGCAAGGATTCATACTCTTAGTTCTTTCGGTAAAGTCACGTAGGTAAAAAATGAAATTAAAATTTATAAAAAAAATAAAAACAATAAAATCACGACGTTTCGGAGGCAACACAAGCTTCAGTCTTCAGGTGAAACTGTCACAGCACTTGATACAGATTTTTTGCTGTGACAGTTTCACCTGAAGACGGAAGCTTGTGTTGCCTCCGAAACGTCGTGATTTTATTGTTTTTATTTTTTATTAATTTTAATTTCATTTTTTACCTACGTGACTTTACCGAAAGAACTAAGAGTATGAAGCCAATCTCACTCTAACTGTATTTCTCTATCATTTTACTACATTTCCGTCTCATTGGTATCTGTCTCCTCTCAAACCATTACATCTCTATCGTCTGTCCACATTCCTCTTATCTTGCTACATGCCTATCTGTTTTTGTCCATATAATCTCTTTGGTCATCTCACTAGGAGTTTATACATTCAAAGATGGGGGAAATGGGTGGGGGGGAGGCTTCTAAAAATAATTTCCGCTTCAGGCCCACAATCGGTCAACAACACCTCTGGACAGGAATCCCCGTGTTGCTTTATGCCCGCGTCCCCACGTCCCCCGCGTCCCTGTGTGAGCCTGTGCCTGCCGGCCGCTACCTCTTTGGACACATGCCTCCCAATGCGAGTCCTGATTGCTGCCAGCACCGCTTGCCGCTTGCAGGCTGCCAACGCCCGCCACTCGGCCTCCACGCACTCCTGCTTGCTGCTGCTGCCGTGCAGACAGGTCCGCCACCTGCCGCTCCAGCGCCAGCCGCTGCTGCTGTTCCTGGCGGCGCACATCCTCAATGGCCACTGGAAACAAGATGGTGGAGAGTGGGGTAGGGTGGTGGGGGAGGCGGGCAGCATGAATGAGCGCAGCAGGGAAAGGCGGCCAGCGTGGCATGGTTCGGCGCGGTTTGATGATGTACATTCTAACGCCGTACGTTGCTCTACGCCCTGCAGCTTGTGACAGGATCAGTAGCCAGAAGATGGGCAGAACCAAAAGTAGGTTTATAAATAGGGTATGGACATGAATATGGAAGATTTTTTAGTGTTATCTCCTCAAATAATAATGATGACAATGACCATAGCGATGGTTGTGGTGATGAAGATGACGATGATTATGATTATTATTGCAATGATGATGATAGTGGCTGGGTTGACCCTGGCCAGGATGTGAACTTATAATATCACAGCCTCTTGACCAGGATTCCTGCTGTGTCCAGCCACTAGGGCCACTCACGGGCCACCACTCCACCAGGCCAAGAAACGACCAAGCCACTCGGTCACTGTGTTACTAACCCATGAGTCACCATGCCACCATTCCTTGTTGCCAACCCTCCACCAAACTACTTTGTTATTGGGCCTCTATCCCACTCTGCCAGGGGTCGGCAACCAAAATAACTCAGTATTAAAAGAGCCGCAATGCATGTGAATACGAGACCGTCCTTAATAAATAACGTCACGAAGCAGTCTATAAAGAGCCGCATACAACTCTGGAGCCACAGTTTGCCGACCCCTGCACTAGACCATCACTTGACCAGCCCATGAAGCCATCTGGCCAATGGGGCAACCAGGCCCCCCTTGCCACTTGACCACCAGAGCACCAGGCAACTCTTCTAGGAGGCCACAACACCACAACTCCACGGGGAGGGCACTATCCCACCAGTTCAATGAGTCCACTGGGCCGACCCTCACCCATGTACTTGAGGTACTTCTGCTCCTGGTCGAGGCCTCCGCGCTCCACTTCCACTCGTCCGTCCTCGCCCTTTTTGCGGCGAAAGTAATCGGCGAGCTTGTGCTGCAGCTGCCCATTCCGACTAAGTAGTTTCTCTTGGGTCTCACGCAGAGCCTGCGCCGCGAGGGGTCGGCAGAAGGGAGGAGAGGAAAGGAGAGGAGGCAGTGTGAGGTAAGGGTGGACATGAGTCAGACGAAGAGGTGTGGGGGTGAGAGGTGGGTGGGGGGAGACATGGGCAGGAGTGTGTGAGTGAAAGAGGATAGGGGAAAGAAAAAAAAGGGTGTGAGAGAGGGAGAGGAAATGGACGGGTGAGGTGGAGGGAGTAGTGTGTTCATGACTGATGCAGGAGAGTGTGAGAGAGAGGGGAAAGATAATGGAGTGAGTGAGTAAATGAGTAGGTGAGTGGGCAGAGGTAGTGTTGAAGAAACGGTGCATATAGTGTGAAGCCACTCTTCCCCCTCCACCTTACCTGGTATTTTTCCAGAAGCTCCTCATGACTCATCTGTGGCTCCATCTCACCCTCCACGGTGTCCTCCATGTCCTGCTCCTCTACTGCATCTGAATTACCTACTGTCAAGCACACATTAGGTTCCTGCGGCTAGAGCACTGGGCAGGAACCCAACAAACCGCCGACAAGGGCTGTCGTGACTGCGCGAGCCACTGCTTGGCAGTAAAAACAAGTTGGTGGGAAAAAAGAACTATAATGTCTGAGAGCAGCTCCTTCTTTTTCAGCTTCTTAATCAGGATATCCATGTGCATTTATAGGAAGTATATAATGCCTCAGCAACTCAAAGTGCCTTCACATCACGTCTCATTTCAAGCAATCCATTGCCCCGCAGCAGTCTAGCCGAGGAGACTTCCCCCCACCAGTGGTAGCTGTCCTTGTTTGAACGAGGAGTACGCAGCACCGGGCTGCAAATGGGAATTAAAGTATACATAACTTTTATTTTACCACGTAAGACCCACTTGAGCTATATAGCTCTTTTTTAGAAGCAAACTGGCCAAAAATGATCGCCCAATGAAGTGGCCTATCGTGTGGAAATGTATTGAGGCCAAACACCGATTCTAAATGTGGAGGGAAAAGCCGGAGGAACCGGATAAAAATCCACGCGAGCATGGAGAGAACATCCAAATATGCAGGCGAGGTAGTTAACATCTCGCCACCGTAGCGCAGAAAATGGTGCTATGTAGCTTTCCTATTAATGATTTATTGATTTGCAAGTAATTAATCAATTTTGGACGATGACGCCTGCACACCATGGTTAAATATTGTTTGAACATCGTCACGAAATGTTATGGTTAAACCCGCAGCAGTAACCAGAATACTTCACTCGTTGCAAGCTCAGCTCAAGTGGCTGAGCGATTAGGATGAGCAAATTCCTCAGAGTCCTCACGAGTCTACCCACCCATGGCTCCGTCGCCCCCGGCCTTGACGTAGTCCTGTCCATCGTGAGCGCTTGGATCCCGTGACACGGCCTCCTCCGTCGACTGCTCAGACTCCTCGTCGGGCGCGATGATGGTTGGTGTTGCGGGGGTCCTATCTCTCTGTGCCACCTCCGCTGCCTGCTCAATTGAATGTAGACAAACGGCAGGGACCACAGGCGAAAGTCCGACAGGAATTAACCAAATCTGACAGGCACCAATGATGCCAATGCTGGCAAGTAGTCAACGATTGATTGATTAAAATCAATTCCAATGCTCACAACAATGAATTATCAACATTAGCCATGGGCAAGCCACTGCTGGATTAAGGCCTCCCACATGCCGCCTTTCATGATCCCGAGATGAAATAATCCACCTAGCACCTGCACATGATCTTTTTTCATCACTCCATCTCTTTGATGGACGTGACTCGCACCCCCCTCCCCCCATGACTGATGCAATGAATCATACGTGTAAGAATGTATTACTCTCGATTCATGGATATTTTATGAACAATTTCCGTTGAGGATAATGGTCTTAATGCACAAGAGTATAAAGACAGAGAAACAGTAGAGACAAAAAAAACCCACGTGACTATAGAACAGAGGTGGTATGAGTAAGACAGACAGGGCATAGGACGTACTACAATGAGGATTAAAACAAATAATGTATTTATTGAATCGAATTGTCACCATGTATTGTAACAATTAATCAAATCACAGTCAGGGAGTGAATCAATACAAGCCTAGTGGAAATTACCTTACATATTCTACTTACAATGAACTATGTTCGAGTGATTCCAACATTCAATGAGCATTGGCTACAGTAAATTTTCCATGACAGGTCAAAGTCAATCGGTCTTCTTGTTTAAACAGCATTAGGTGATGCTAACCTCTGTTGGTGGCAGTAAGCCAGCGGTCGAAATTCCATATTTCTAAAGTTGAGGGCCAGTTTATCCATAAGAGATTGGCTCTTCAGTTCCAATTAAGTGGCATTCATTTTATCCACCTTGGAGGGATGCTGCTAACATAACTGGGCTTAACTCATGACAGCCATCTGACGGCACAGATTCTCACTGTAGTTGCTGATAATTATACAGGGTATTCCCAAACAACACAATATGCTGCCGCCTTCATTAACCCACACTGACCAGCATGATGGAGAAGTATAATAAAATAACCTCCATGACCCACAGGGTGTGGGGAGGCTCTCATACTGCAGTGGATTGACTACAAACCGTACATGGACATGATATGTGTAAGAGAAGCTCATTTTGTGCCACCAGTGTCAAGGTCCAAATTGCACATTTAACCACCCACGGGCAAAAGGAAAACTGCAAACTATCCTTCTATAAATGTGGCTTTTCCACATTTGCTTGAATTGGCTTTCGCTCAGCTAGATAAATTAAGCCTGAGCATGGCGCCGCTTCACCTAGCCGTGCTGCTCATCTGCTATATTTTCAGCATTTCTAAATTAGTTGGCTAAAAACGTTTTGCAAAAATAATCCCCCGCACTTTAATTCCAGCGGTTACTCCGTGCCAACGCCACACGCAAACAGACGTCCTCGTTTTCCACCGCACGGCATGGAAATGTCCACCGGGCAGTGGGGGGAAATAAATCTCTGCGGCCCACGAGTTTTTATGGGCTTACCTCTGCCGCAGCCAAGTCTCCCTCCGCTCTCTCTGTGCTGTCTTGACCTTTAAGGGGAGACATTTATAGAACGTTAGAGACCTTTCAAAGCAGTTGTCATCCCCCCCCCCCCCCCCTCTTCTCTCACCAAACCAGCTGGTACTGCCAGACTCACCGCCAGTGCTAACACAAAAGGGATACTTGGCACCAACATCAAATACGGTACCAACATTGGAAACACATCAATGCACGATCTCAGTATCCCAGTTTTCCATTGTTATGCAATTTAACTTTTTGGGATTTTCAACAGTTGCCCTAGTTATTTATTTTTGTAGTGGGAAGGCAACATTAAACTATGTGGTGTTGAAAGGAAATGTTCCATATTTAGACTGCATACATTTTAATGGTGCACCTACTTTTAGCTGCAGTGAATGGCAGCGGTGTTGCAGACAAGGTGCCATATTTGAGTGATTGTTAAAGTAAGTGTAAAGGGAGATATTCCAGTGACAGCTTAATATAGAGCATTTTTTCCAGGAAATGAGGTGATGTCTGTAGGAGGAAGAACAGAAGGTGGGTTTGAGACAAGGCATAACCGTAGAAGAGTTGTTTTCTCCTCAATGGTATAAAAAACCCGAACAGGACCCTCTATGAATGTACAAATGTATGTTGAACTTCTTTTGCACCGTACGTGTGGGGAAAGACAACAAACGAAACACAAAAATCAGTTCAAGAAAATGAGCATTGAGCCTCAGCGATGCTTTCTTGAATAAAAATAAATTAATTAAAGTGTCTTCCTCCACAGACAAGAGCTAGGGAGAACTTATTACCATTGGTGGCCCAAAGCAAATGATGGAAATCCCATATTCCCACGGCAGCAGCCAGTCTATCCATAACACGAGCACTGTTGATGCCCAGAAGGTGGTACTCATTTTATTGACCCAGCAGGGACTGCGATAAGTTAGGTCGACATTCTGGTCCTTCAGCGATCGAATGCCCAAGGTTTAGCATGACTGCATTTGAACAAACCGTCGGGCTGTTCCGTGAGCAGCTCCACTGGTGACCCATCACCCTCAGCACCAGGTGCAGGTTCCTGTTCCCCCTCCATCACGATCATTTCCGGGCCCGCTCCATCCAGATTCCGAGCTTCCCCCTCGTCCACCTCGTCAGGTGCTGACGCCTCTGTGGGGGCCGTCTCTCCCACTGCCAGCGTTTCCTCGCGCCCGCTGTTTAACAGCACAACCTCTTCGCCTTTGCTGCCACCGTCTGCGGCAGCCGTCGTGTCAGCTGTTGCTTCTGCCCCACCAGTGTCCGTCTCTGATGGTGTCTCAGCTGCATCGCCATCCGCGTCTCCAGCTGCCGCTGCCTCAGGCCCTTCGATGTCTTTGGCTGTCGCTGTCTCGGCTCCATCGGTGTCCCCCTCTGCCGGCGTCTCAATTGCCCCATCGGTGTCTTCCACGTCCCGCGTCTCACCAATTGTGTTGTCTGCTGTGTCTGAGGGCACGGGGTCTAAACGTGGACGGGCAAGGAAGAATCAAAATGGGATTGCGTGCACGTGTAAAAAAATATCATCACGTAAATATAGTTAACAACGACCTTCCTGAAATATATTGAGACTTTTCTGGGTAAATTAATATTATCATCGCTACTTTTATGTAAACGTGTGGGAAGTTGCACATGCAAGGACTTCTGACAGCTACATTAATATTTTAAGCTCTTTGATGTGCGTCTAAAATTTCTACGCACATCAACGCACACCTTATTACAGCTTTGGAAAGCAGTGCTGGGCCTGACACTCAGGTTTCAAAGTCACGCAGGTCGACTGCCCCCTTTTCCACCTCAGAATGAGCGTGACAACTAGTTGGTGAAAGAAAGCAAAACACCCACTGGAACGTACACGTGCGGTGAGCGACATGCCGTGCAGTGGCTTTGTGAGAGAGACCTTTAAATGAGGGAAGTTGACAGTGGCTCTCATGCAACATCACGTCTGGGTAGTCTCGTGAAGAGGGTTGCCACCTCCACCGGGATATATCGACATAAGAATGTATTACGATACCGGAAGAGTTGAAAACTGCTTATGTGTAAATACATCGGATTTGAATGGTACAGTGCTGTATTACACAACTGACAAAAACCGAAACTTTGTCATGGGCAGAGTTAAGGAGGGGGGGGGGGTCAACCCCTTTATTAATTAATTTTCAGTAGTTTACAATTAAGATAAAAACAAAGCAATTATTGAATTAATTGTATGCACCCTCTATTCCTAATGTGAGGGACAAAGCGAACCCCTGCCCACCCCCCCAAACATAAAAGTCAAACTCCGCCGATGCTTTTAGTGTTCCAATAAGGCTTATAGCTTTTGCAGGAGAGCTACCTAAAAAAAAAACCGGGACAGGTGGCAACCTTAACCCCCAACAGTGACACCAGTATTCGTGACTGCAAGGATCCATACTCTTTGGTTTTTTCGGTAAAGTCACGTAGGTAAAAAATAATAAAAATGAAAACTAAATAAAAACACAAAATAAATAAATAAAATGCCCGTTTTTTGTCATTTTATTTAGTTGTTTTAATTTTTATTATTTTTTACCTACGTGACTTTACCGAAAAAACCAAAGAGTAGCTGACACGAGTGCTATCTACTGTAGCCATGATGACACCTATGTGAAAAAGAGTTGTATCGCTTGTCAGATTCATCCAGTCCAGTATAAATATTCTGATTATGATATGTCACGCCCCTCACAGATATATCTCAGAATAGCTACCTCTCAAAGACGACGTCCTGGGAAACACCAGGACAGGTGGCAACCCGATTGGGTAGGGACCATCACGGCAGGGACCCAGAGTGATTCGTGAAATAAAATCTATAAAATGTACAAAAACAAATGTTGGAACTTCAGTCAGACCTGCTTCGTGTTCGGTGGAGTCCGTTTCAACTCGGTCTGGCCGAGGCTCCACCACCGCTCCCCCCTCCTCCCTCTGACCGTCGGCCGCGTCTTGGTCACTCTCCTGCGGTGCGAGTCGAAGATTGGGGTTAATTTGACCATACTTCACCAGGCTGGTCATCGTGGTGGTCACGTATGCGGGAGCTTCGAAGCACGGTGCGCTGTACAACTGACGTTTGTGCATCGCCAAGCTGCAGTTCCACAGCAACACCTACGAGTATGAATCCTTGCAGTCACAAAAGCTTCAAATCTAGAATTAATACCCTCTACGGGGAGGAATTTCACCTATCTGTTATTATTTATTTTTTACCTACGTGACCTTACCGAAAAACCTAAGAGTATGAATCCTTGCAGTCACGAAAGCTTCAAATCTAGAATTAATACCCTCTACGGGGAGGAATTTCACCTATCTGTTATTGTTTATTTTTTACCTACGTGACTTTACCGAAAAACCTAAGAGTATAAGTTCCACAGCAGTCAGTGCCTACCTGGCAGTGCAAGATTGGCGACTCCGTTCGAGACATATCCAGGCTCAAAAACACAATTGCTTCGCTTCCGAGATGTGACGAGATCCGTGCGCATTGCGTGGTATTTGACGCCACGTGCCGTAACTCCGCCGTCATTAAATTCAATGTCTAACACGACGGACATCGTGCGCTTGTCACGGGGAATGTGTCAACAAGGAGGCCAACGGGAGCCTGCTTGCAAGCATGAAAGCACGGATACCCAAGTTCGCTTGTCGTGGAACTTTGACAAGGACAAAAAACTAAACTTTTCAACGGAGTCGCGAAACTTTTTGACCGATCAGTGTCGTTAAATTCAAACCGCATCGGAACGATAAAAACTAAATAACACCACACATAATCGCTTTACCATACCGCTTATCAGTGCCCTACCCGAATTAAACCAATTCAGACCTTGTTGGTCACCCCGTGCCCCTTATACATCTCAACGTTCATCCTACAAAGTCCCATCACAAGGGAGAAACACAAACAAATAGACAATCACCACCACTACACTCACCACTAGTACACTCACCACTAGTATTCACCACTACACTCACCACTACTACACTCACCACTAGTACACTCACCACTGGTATTCACCACTAGTACACTCACCACTAGTACACTCACCACTAGTACACTCACCACTAGTACACTCACCACTATTACACTCACCACTAGTACACTCACCACTATTACACTCACCACTATTACACTCACCACTATTACACTCACCACTACACTCACCACTAGTACACTCACCACTACACTCACCACTATTACACTCACCACTACACTCACCACTAGTACACTCACCACTATTACACTCACCACTACACTCACCACTAGTACACTCACCACTATTACACTCACCACTACACTCACCACTATTACACTCACCACTACACTCACCACTAGTACACTCACCACTATTACACTCACCACTACACTCACCACTAGTACACTCACCACTACTACACTCACCACTATTACACTCACCACTACTACTCACCACTAGTACACGCACCACTAGTACACTCACCACTAGTACTCACCACTACACTCACCACTACTACTCACCACTAGTACACTCACCACTATTACACTCACTACCACACTCACCACTACTACACTCACCACTGGTATTCACCACTATTACACACACTCACCACTAGTACACACACTCACCACTAGTACACACACTCACCACTACACTCACCACTACACTCACCACTACAATCACCACTATTACACTCACCACTAGTATGCACCACTACATACCTGTCAACCCCTTATCAGTGCCTACCTTATAACAGATCAATTCAGACATTATTGGTCACCCCATGCCCCTTATACATCTCAACGTTCATCCTACAAAGTCCCATCACAAGGGAGAAACACAAACAAATAGACAACACAAATTAAATGTTTTGCAATAATTGAAACGGCTGTACGTCGCGTGGACCTGAAAACTCAATTTCCCTGTACAAGAATACGGTGTAAACCGTATGGGTTGAGACAGGAAAGTAACTTTACAGTTTAACACATTGTTACGCTCCCATCGGGAGTAATATCGTTGATGTTGTTGTTGTCATTGAAGAAGTTCTTTTTAATTGCCATTGTAACCGAATTTAATGCGAAGTATTTGGTCGCTCACCATGGTAACCGCTGGAGGCCCGGCGTCCGCCATGTTGGCTTTGCGTTACCACGGAGACGCCCCGCCCACGCGGCAACGTCACTTCCGGCAACGTGGAAGCCACCGCCCACGAGACTGTTTCTGTTCATAACGTGGTGGCAGTGGCATTGGGTCTCGACAACGGTGCCTTTTCCGAAGTTTCAGGCAACGGTCCTTCTTCAGAGCACTTCGAGAGACCAGAGGGGTCGTCAAGAGGCCTGCAGAGCGATAGAGTAAATTGACTCTGCCTCTCTATGTGCTGTGCAGAAGGGTAATTGCCCGAAACGTCGCCTATTATACCTTTTTTAAAGGAGTGTTAATTTACTTTTGCACTTCATATAGTATTGCACATTTGTTTCCCTGTGCAGTTAGTTCAGAATTTCACGTCTCATAAAAGTGTGGGTCTTCTCAAACGAGTTGGGGCATTGAAATCATTATTCGCCAGTGGTCCTGTACCAGAGGTGAACATCCCACATTTCAGTGGCAGGGGCAAGTATATCCATCCGTAGGTCAGCCGCCCACAGCAGACTTCCCACTGTGATAACTCCGATTTGAACTTGGCAAGAGGAGTTTGTCTGCGAGTCAAGCATCGACATGAGTTGAGCCTGTGTTGAGGCGACAGGCGAGTGGACGTGATGTACACGTCACGTGGGCAGGTTACAAACACGAACTTTGAGTGGCAGCCGGAGGTCGGTGACCAAGGAAAAGACCTAAAGAGTTGTTTCTTGTCCTTCCCCCGAAATTACGATCGGCACGGTTGGCTACGTACGGCGCAAGACTTCAATATACATGCACACGTGGTGGCTGTGGTGAGATTATAAGAGCAGACCTTGGAAAAAGTCCGGTATCAACTGCAAGAACAGCAGCACTTAGCAAAAGTGATGTGTGTGGTGTCATCAACAGCCTTGGCTGCGATTACCTCGCAGACTTTGCTCACGACCATTATGCTCAGCGACGTAGCACGATTGGCAGGGGGCCCTGGTTCGTAGGAACGAAATTGTGCCAGCCCCTGTCCAATGTCCCCTCTCTTCGTAGGCCCGGCGCCTGGTTCCTTTTGGACCATGGGCCTCGGGTGCCTGTTGCACTGCCCGTAGGCTCAACAGCTGAGCCACTGATTACACCTTCCCATCTCTCACCATTCCCAAACCCATCCAAGATAATGCCATTTGTCTGTTTTATTTTCACACAGAACTCGTTTAATAATTCATGCGAGAAAAATCAACACACCAAAAACAGAGTTCGCATGCAATGCTGTGGCATCGAGCCACTTTAGCATCACCTCAGTAGCTTCGCTAACATGTCACTGCGTCATCAACATCATCGTCATCATTAATGTCAGCAAAAGTATCAAACGGAGCACTGGACACCTGGCAAGCAGGCAGATGCAAAAGGCAACTTTGTGAAATGAACAAACCAAGCTAAATAACCACTGAGCAGAGTCTGGTTATTTGTTAGACATTAAATGCTTTGGGTTTTCAAGTCATGAAATTGGTTAGCGTCAGGGAATGCAGGTTTGCAGAGAGGACAGCAAATGCCCCCCCCGCCTCATCACAGGCTGAGCTGCACGGAGCCCTGCAGATGACTGCTGTACTTTTGCAACAGGGGGCGCACCTCCACCTGCAGAAACTTGGTGACCTGCACACACAGACCGCGGGAAATAGGGTCAGAAAGTGTGCTTGAAGTTTGTGACGATGATGCCCTGTGTGCGCCAGGTGGCGCTGTGGTCAGTTGTTTAAAGTTTAGTCGGAAGGTGGCGATTTCAAATTACAAAGACTTCTGGCAGGATGATGCCGAGTGCAACTGCTGCACGTTGAATACGTTTTAAGAAATGTACATTGGTAAATGAAGTACATCACAGCATAAGATGACAATGTATAAAATAAAAATTACGAAGGGGAACTTGGACCAGGATAAATCGTCATCGTGAAATGTAAAATCGAATCAACAAAACTATATTATTGCGACCATACGCTCAACATAAGATGCACAACCCTAGCACTCCACTGTTGGATGAGGGCTACAATGCTCAGTGAAAGAGTGATGGGTAGGATGAGGTGAGTGGGAATGGGGTGGGCGTAGAGGGGGGGGGAGGGGGTATCCAACTGGATATCGGATTCGTCATCGAATTCCTCCAGTATAAACAAATTTACTAATTCCGATTCTGAGGGTGCAGGGGAGGAGGAGGGGGCCATGCCTGCTGGGGGGCCCGGCCGACGAAGGTGGCGGGGTCGAGCAGCGAGGGCAGCTGCTCGTGCACGGGCGAGAAGTACGCGTCGGCGCGCACGCGCTCCACCAGGTCATTGTCGCCGCCCTCCTGCTTCACGACGGCGGCCGCCTCCTGGGACAGCACGCGGATCCGCTCGTGGCACTCCTGCGGGGGTCGGTGGGGGGGGATGTAGAGGGGCGGCACTGTTATAGTCGGGGTGGAGTTGCATTGCATTACAGTCAAGGTTACAAGGGGCGGCATTGTATGCGGGTGACATTGGTATCATGGCTGGGAAGGGTGGAAGGGGGCATAGGCGTTGTAGCTAGGGGGGAGGCATTGACTGAGCAGGGGGGGGGGGGGGGAGACAAGATGTAGGTGCCACACGGGTGTCACTGATTGGCTGAGGTAACATCGGTGCCGTGGCTGGGGAAGTGACTCATCCTTCAAGGGTTCATCTTACTGCTCCCCTAGAGCCATATTGTGAGTGGGGAGCGGTGGCGCAGCGGTTAACACGCTGCAACACGAACCCAGCAACCTGAGTTCAATTCCTGGTCACGGCCACCAACACCAGTGACGATTATCTGAACTAGATCGACTCAGTCTCAAATAAGTAAATTTCGATTTAAAGCTTTCGTGACTGCAGGGATTCATCTTCTTGGTTCTTTCGGTAAAGTCACGTAGAAGGGAAGTAATAAAATAATACTTCTACGTGACTTTACCGAAAGAACCAAGAAGAGCTCAAATAAGTACCTTGTGAAGTGTATAAGCTTTGCCACTGGGGAGACAAAGCTAGATGGGCGTGTGTTAGCCACCCACCCTGTCGTGTGCCGTGCCTGCCTTTATTGGGTGCTTGATAACAGCACTTGCCACAACAGTCTGTTAAGGCTATTAGGGGGATTTTTGTCTTTGTATTCTCGATTCTTACACTGCCTATAAATCTTTCATTCAGCCAAAACATTAAAACTACCCTCCCAATCTGCTGTGCCCCAAAATTACTCAAAACAGTGCATGTTTGTTATTAAATGGCAGTTTGTTTTTGTCAGTGGGGTAGTTGTATCTATTGGTAAATGCACGACTGCCGAGTAAGATAGCTACAAATCACAAGAACCCACAGCTCTTATCTTCTAGCTCCACACCAAAGCCAGTGCGTCACAGGCTGTACCACACCAATTTTGAGTAACATTCGACAAAAAACCCTCTACTCCGCTGTAGAGAAATAGGACTTAAAACAATCACAGCGACATCACTAGGGCGCTAAACAGAACTGTTCAGACACTCCTGGAAGTTACTTTAAAGTGTGTGCAATGTCATTTAACAAATATATAATGTGGCAGCACAGGGCACACAGCCCAAGGGAGAGGTTTGCTCACTCTCCTTGACTGCCCCCCATGGTCTAGAACTCTTTTCCCCCAGCAGTAAGTCCCGTCAACTACCCACCCCTGTTCAAGTACAGATTCAACACCTTCCTTTTTTTATTCTGCCTATGACCAACTGTGTGTTTGTGTAGTTACAACAACCGTGTGTTTTGAGCCATGCTGTCATTAAGGAGGCGGGTTTGTGCAGAGGTCAACGAATGGCCAGCACAGCGGGAGACGAAACCAGGTCGGTTTCGCGTTGGAGTTCGGATGGAATTAAGTTTCAGCGATTTCCTCTTCGTGAGCTGCATCACTGCATCACTGATCTGGGCGCCCAACTCCTACCCCCCTACTCTCTTATCCTCCCCTCCCATACCATACCCCTCACCCGCCACGACCCACACTCTCCCTCCCCCTCCTCTCACCCTGCCCCTCACCTCTCAACCTGCACCCTTCGCCTGCCACCACCCACCTTCAACCTCCCCTCACAACCCTCACCCTCACCATCCCTTCTCACCCCACACCTCCTCGCTCTCTTCTAAACTCGCAACCCCCTCACCCTTCCCTCTCACCACGCAACCCTCACTCTCGCGCTCCCCGCTCATCTGTCAGCCACCCTGCACTCTGCTCTCCCCACTTACCTGCCGGTCGCCCCCCGCCTTCACCATGGCCATGATGATATTTTCTGTCGCCATGAAAGGCAACTCCTGCTTGATGTGGCGCTCGATTACCTGTTCAGGCGATCGAAGTAACAAGGTCACGAGGTTATGTGGTCGCGAAGTCACGCGCGCACAGGCACACACACGTGGGCATATGTGAATACACCAAAAACACCACTCCCACGCATACACACATTTTCACAAAATGACACGCAACACAAAAATCTCCCGTATACCCTTTACGGGCTGTTGGGGCAAGTGCTGTTAAGCGAGCAGCTGTAAAGGCCGGAACGGCGCACGAGGGGGTGGTGTGGCCATCACCAAGCCTGCCAGCCTGTCTCCCCAGCGCTGATGTTTATACGCCACACCAGGTACTAATTTTTAAGGCTGAATCAACCTAGGGGAGGCCCAGGATCGGTTCAGATATTAGCCATTAATGTTAGCCATGAGCAGGAAGCGAACACAGCTTGCTCGGTTCATGGCATTGTGCGCGAAACACTACACTTACGCTCCCGAGTACACACGTACTCACAAAGTCACAACAACAATAACAACCAACATTCGCCACTAAGTGGCGGTGACAGTCACCACAGTGCTTGTGTCAGGCTAGGTGCACTTTGAAGCCACATGAAGTGTCGAAGGCTCGCTGGCGGGAGGTCACGGGACAGACCCAGGTGCCATGTGTTGACTGACTGAGATGACTGATAAATGCACCAGCTATGCCCCCGACTGTGCCAGCTTGCTGTGTTTCAGCCGCCCGACGCTCCACTGTATGCTGAACTTCTTTCTCACCGTACATAAACAACTGTGCTAATGGGAGGGGAATCAAACTAAACACAAAAAGCAGTTGTAAAGAAATGAGTTTTCAATCTAGATTTAAAAGTGCATAGCACCAGTGGCTTCCTAATATCGGAAGGACGAGTATTCCAGACGACCACAGAAGCGGAATCTGTAAGCGCGCGATGCAGTGACCGTCTTTGTTAAGAAAGTTAGTCAAAAGCCGCTACGAAAGTCTCGCTCGCACACACACCTTGGGGTAGACCACCAGCCCCTCGCCCACGTTCTGCAGCGTGCTGAGGATGATGTCGGCGGTGAGAAACGCTTCCGGGATGCAGATCCGCCTGCGGAGACGCGGCCACGCAGCTTATCAGCAGGGGCCATGACTCCGCACCTCGTCATCGCCGGCATCACCGTCGTCGTTACAACCACTGCCAGCATCATAATTTACGCTACCAGAATCATCGTCGTAATAATCATCATCACATTCAGCACATCATAAGTGTAAAAAAAATAAGAGGAATTGTTATCACAACCGCTGCCAGGAACATAATCACTTTTAGAAGAATCAATACTTCCTGTATCATCACTGCCAATATCACCACTTCCAGAATCAATACTTCCTGTATCATCACTTCCAGAATCAATACTTCCTGTATCATCACTGCCAATATCATCACTTCCAGAATCAATACTTCCTGTATCATCACTGCCAATATCATCACTTCCAGAATCAATACTACCTGTATCATCACTGCCAATATCATCACTTCCAGAATCAATACTACCTGTATCATCATCAATGTCCATATCATCAATTATAGAATCAACACTTGCTGTATCATCATCAATGCCAGTATCATCATCATCACTGCCAGTATCAACATCACTTCCAGATTCAATGCTACCTATTATCATCATCATCACTGCTGGTATCATGATCATTACAATCGATACAAGTATCATCACCATCAACACCAACACTCTGAGTAATATCAACATCATTACATGACCCCATCCAACCCGACCAGACCGCAGCCGCCCCGACCTGTTGGCGCTATCGTCGAGCGTGCGCTCGAACCACTGCGTGGACGCCGTCTGCAGGGGGTCCATGACGAGCGTCATGAGGTGGCGCGCCAGGCTGCAGCAGCGCTCACTCCGCATCGGGTTCCGCTTGTACGCCATCGCGCTCGAGCCTGCAGAGGGGGAGAGCCACGGGAGCAGAGAGGGAGCCGTGCGGGGAGCAGGGGGGGGGGGGGAGGCAGAGGGGAGCAGAGGGAGAGCAACAGGACAGCAGAGGGGGGCAGCAGAGGGAGAGCAGGGTGGGAGCAGAAAGGGAGGAGTGGGGGAGCAACAGGACAGCAGAGGGAGAGCAAGGTGGAGGCAGAGGGGGGGAGTGGGGGAGCAGCAGAGGAGCAGAGGGGGTGGGATAGAGGGGAGCAGTGGTAGAGCAACAGGACAGCAGAGGGGGAGCAGAGAGGAAGCCGAGGAGCAGCAGGGGAGCAGAGGGGGAGAGTGGGAGGAGCAGAGGGGGAGTTGAGAAGCAGAAGGGGAGCAGAGGGCATGCATAGGGAGGAAGCGACGATGGAGCAGAGAGGGGAGCAGGGTGGAAGCAGCGGGGGAGGAGCAGGGGGGAAGCAGAGGTGAGAAAGGGGAAGACAGACAAATGTGGACACACAGGTAGGACAAGGGGAGTATGGAGTGCGGAGGAGAAGAGGAAAAGATTGAATAGATGGGACCATGGGACAGGTGGGCGGAGGAAGACAGGGGGATGCATTGAACCTGGTTTAATGGGCGGCCGAAACCCGGCATAATACCCAGCATAACGGCGTCTCCAAAGCGGCCATTATAAATCTTCTGTGCCAGCCAGTCACTGCTGGTGAACTAGTGTACCGCGTAAATGTCCATGTGCGTGCGTGATGTGTGCGTGACGCGGGCGACACGAAGCCACGAGACTCACCGATCTGATCCTTCTCAAATGGCTCCTCCACCTCCTTGAGGTGAGCCAACAGGCGGATGTCTGTGCAGATCTGGCTCCGGGAGCAAAGGGTGCGCGAGCGAGCGCGTGCGCAAGAGGGGGAAGAAGAGAAGCAGCGTGGAGATAAGTGATCGCAGTGACAGGTGGGGGTCGATGGATCACAGACATCATCACGTGCTGCGCTAGAGGGTGCTAATGACATGGACTAGCATTGGAAGATACAGTGCGTGAGATGTTAACTCCCTCGCCTGGTATAAAGCAGTTGTGGGTTCAATCCCGACCCTGACCCCTGTATATTTGGAGTTTGCATGTTCTCCCTCCACATTTAGAAACGTGCGTTTAGAGTATTTGGCTGCGATAAATTTCCACGTGAAACGCCACTTCGTTGAGCTATCATTTGTGGCCAAGTTACTTCTGAAAAAGAGCTGTATAGCTCAGAGGGCTTTACCTGGTAAAATAAAAATAGTTCATAGTTTTTTGACACCACACTACTTTGGAAGTCACTTCAACGTGGCATTTACCCACACTGGGGGCCCAGAGCTAAGTGAGGTCGCCCAACGTTGACCCCGCGGAGGTCACCACAAAGGTCACCACAAAGGTCACCTACAAAGGTCACCTTATGCACAGAGGCGCCCAGGCTCGCCAGCGTGGCCACGATGTCCACGTCCACCTTGCGGCTGTACGTCTGCCCCGTGATGAGCAGTGCCCTATTGTCGCACGACCATCGTCAGCATCGTCGTCGTCTTCTTCAGCAGCAGCAGCATTAACAGCATCATTACCAGAGGCAGTAATGGAAGCAGTATTATCACCGTTGTTATAAGCAGCGCCCTCAACGTCTTTATCATTATAATCATCAGCACTAAGTAAGTGGAAGCAGAAGTAGCAACATTACTATAATTAGCAGCAGCGGCGGCATTGTCAAAATCAGCATCATCATTGGCAGCAGCATTTGTAGCATCGTCAGCAGCAATTGCATTGTCATCACATGCAGCAACAGAAGACATCATTATCATCAGCATCAGCAGCAAGCTTCATCCATCACCCATTAGTAGGGTTCATCATTATCACCATTAGTCGTGTTGACAGCATTGTTAAGAGCGGCAGCAACAGAAGCCAAAACAAGAATAGCAATAGCAACGTCATCATCATCATCATCGACATCAATCAGCAGGAACTCACTTGTCAAATCCGGCCAACTTGGTGACCAACTCATCCAACTTCTCCACCTGAAGCGACGGCCGATGTCAAGCAAATGTGCACCAAGCGATCGGACCACAGCACCACCCGATCAGAAAATAGACATTAGGCAAGCAATGATTCACTAACTCTAAATCCATTCTCATGCTCACAATACATCCAACCGAATCGCGCACTTAACAGTAATTTATTAAATAAGATGCATTACAATTCCTTATAAGGGAAACAAACACTAACTAATTAGTAATGTAGCATAATCACAATAAAACACATTCCAAATGATTACTAATCTACAACTCGCATCGTAACAATAGCCTGATTACTAATCTAGTATATAATTACAATCACTCCCCCCTTGAATCTTTGCACCTGATGAGTTAATGAGTTAATGATGACGTCACCCTGCTGCTGCTCTATATAAGAACGGGAGACACAGCAGAGCCTCACCATTCTGGCGAATTGCCCGATGATGCTGGATGCAATTACCAGCGAAACATCGTACTAAAATTGTAAATGTTGTGGCTTCAACACACCGGTGGGCGAAAGCAGTGAACTATTTGTCTTTTGTCAACGTGACACTTTTTTACTGATTGGCCGTGTCGGGTGGTGGAGGTTTACGACACATTTATAAATAACGCGATCTAAACCCAAAAACGTTGATTATGAGTAATTTACTACATACGGAATAATCCATCTTATGGGTCCAGACACCATTGAGCAGCTCTGCAAACTAAACTTATAGGGTGGCGAAATATTAACTACCTCGTCTGGTATACAGAAAGTCGTGGGTTCGATCCCAACCCTGACGCCTGCATACTTGGAGTTTGCATGTCTCTCTTCCTGTGGTCGTGTGGATTTTTTCTCCGGATCCTCCGTTTTTTTCCTCCACATTTAGAAACATGCGCGAAGAGTATTTGGCTGCGATCAATTTCCACGTGATAAGCCACTTCTTTGAGCTATCATTTGTGGGCAGGTCGCTTCTGAAAAAGAGCTAACTCAGTAGGATTTACCCAGTAAAAAAAAATAATTGTTTCGAAGTTTTATACGGTCATAAACTCGTCCGCCGCTTTTCAAACACGACACGGACGATGAATACAACGCGATTACAATGAAAGGCGATCACAAAAGTGTTGACTACCGGAAAGACAACGACTCAACGGACAAGCAAGCGAACGGTCAAGCTGAACGAACGAGCAAATGGGCGATTGTGGCCGAGCTGGGCCAGTGTGCTACCTTGTCGTGGTCCCCGTTGAAGAGCTGCAGGAAGCTGGCCTGCGTCCCCGTCGTGCCCTTGACCCCGCGGAAGCGCAGCTCCCCCCGCAGGCGCTCCACACTGCGCAGGTCGCTCACCAGGTCCTGCAGCCACAGGCAGCAGCGCTTGCCCACGGTCGTCAGCTGGGCAGGCCTGCGCACATACGCACGCGGGGGTGAGGGAGGGGCGAGCGAGGGGGCGAGCGAGGGGGCGAGCGAGGGGGCGAGCGAGGGGGCGAGCGAGGGGGCGAGCGAGGGGGCGAGCGAGGGGGCGAGCGAGGGGGCGAGCGAGGGGACGAGCGAGGGGACGAGCGAGGGGACGAGCGAGGGGACGAGCGAGGGGGCGAGCGAGGGGGCGAGCGAGGGGGCGAGCGAGGGGGCGAGCGAGGGGACGAGCGAGGGGGCGAGCGAGGGGGCGAGCGAGGGGGCGAGCGAGGGGGCGAGCGAGGGGACGAGCGAGGGGACGAGCGAGGGGACGAGCGAGGGGACGAGCGAGGGGACGAGCGAGGGGACGAGCGAGGGGACGAGCGAGGGGGCGAGCGAGGGGGCGAGCGAGGGGGCGAGCGAGGGATGAGTGGGGTGAGCGAGGGGTGAGAGTGGGGTGAGCGAGGCCATGGGCTTGCGAGGCGGTGGGTAAGCGGGGCGGTGGGTGCGCGAGGCTGTGGGTGAGCGAAGCCAAGGGTGAGCGAGGCTGTGGGTGAGTGAGGCTGTGGGGGTGCAAGGCTGTGGGGGTGCAAGGCTGTGGGGGTGCAGGGCCGTGTGTGTGCCGGCTGTTCTATGCTCACTGGAAATGCGTGAACCCCAGCGTGGGCAACGCGGCATGTGTCTCCGCGAAGCGACTGAGACGGTCGATGACGCGTGCCAACTGAAGGAAGCAGACAGGTCACACACACCGATGAACACACATAAGTACATAAACAATCACACAAGTATGTACAAAGATCCCCCGTAAACCCTACACTAATTGTTTGACAAGTACTGTTTAGCGAGCATCCATTAAGGCCAACACAGCGCATAACGAGGTGGTACGGATAGGATCACGCCCGGGCCGCCTTTGTCTCCCCAGGGGCTGATGTTTACACACTGCACCAGGCAGTCAAAACCGGGACAATGGAGGGAAATGGATCATCACGCGCCCCACACAAGTGCAAAAAACACACAACCCGTCAGCGCATCACGCGGCAGCGATGCAAAACACGGAGGTAGTGCGAGGGGTGTCAAAACAGAAAAGACTCACTTTGGGCAGGAGGATGTCAAAGGCATCGCGTATCACGATCAGGTCCTGAAGGTTAACAAAAACACAAGAAAAGTCAGTAAAGAGAGTAGGGAGAATGAAACTAGCCAGATATACTCGCTCACACACACGTGCAGAGACACATTGCTGGGTTTTGTGGTGCGCACCCGTGATCCGCAGCTTTATAGGCAAGGGTTGCTGGATCAGATACAACGAGATTTGTGAAACTCCTAAACCTTCTAGGCTGCGAGGTAGCCAGTTGATGGGATTACAGAAAATGTATTCTTGAATGGTAATTAGCATGGCGCGCGGTGGCAAGATGATAACTGCCTTGCCCGGTATGCAGAAGGTCGTGGGTTTTATTCCGACCCTAAAACCTGTATATTTGGAGTTTGCGTGTCACTTTCTCCGTGGTCGCGTGGATTTTTCTCCGGGACCTCTGGTTTTTCCCTCTGCATTTAAAAACTTGCGTTTAGGGTATTTGGCTGCTATACATTTCCACATGATAAGCCACTTCGTTGTGCTATCATGTGGCCAGGTCGCTTTTGAAAAAAAGAGCTAAATAGCTCAATGAGCCTTACCTGGTAAAATAAAAAAATATATATCTGTGTGGCACTTTGTGAGTGTTATCCCCCCACCCCCCTCAATGTTGCGCCTGCATTCAATAAAGCAACAGACGAAATTACTATGAGCAGCATTATTGCAGGAACAGAGATGACAAACCTGTCGATATACAAATGAGTGAGATGAAAGCGAGATGAACAGGAGATAGATGAGAGAGCTGGAGGCAAACATTATGACACCGCGATGCAATGTGATATCGTAACATAACGCCACGTGGCTTGCCGGCACACGCCAATTTTGCTATGTGGGCCGCTGGCGAATATATTCGAAGAAGCCCGCGTAGTACTCATGCCCCATAGCAATAAGGACCTTGGTTTGATTCCCAACTCCAGATGCCTTTCTGTGTAGAGTTGGCATGTTTTTTCCCCGCTATTCTGCATGGGTTTCCTCTGGGTTCTAGCTAAAGGAAACATACAATGCAACTGATATTGGTCAAACATCCCAATGATAAAAAAATTACCTGCAAAAATTAATCTAATTGGCATTTACACATCTCGCAAAATCACCCCCGTTGAGTAAACGTGGCAGGACCCTCTTGAAAATAATTTGGTGATGCTTCTCTGGAAACACAAACATAACAATAACATCAATAATTTTTTTGTTAAAACTAAACTATTTTTATTTTACCAGGATAACACCCACTGAGCTGTATAGCTCTTTTTACAGAAGCGACCTGGCCACAAATGATAGCTCAACGAGGTGGCTTATCGTGCGGCAATTTATAGCACGCAAATACTCTAAATGCACGTTCGTTTCTAAATGTGTTGAAGAATAAACCGGAAAATCCATGCAACCACGGGGAGATACACGCAAAATCACACATACTGGCGCCACGGTCGGGATTGAACCTATGACCTCCTGTATACCAGGCGAGGTGGTTAACATCTCGCCACCTGCGGCACCCACAATGATTTAACGATTATTTCACAATAAACGACGATTTAACGGTACCGTATTGTCGCCCACGTAGCAGGACGTGGCGCCCAGGTGGATGATGGAGGCCGCGGTGGGGCAGGCGTGCGCGAAGGTGTGCACAGTGCGCCATCACGTCGTGTCGACACCGCCGCTCCTCCTCGGCCGCCATCGCCCAGTCGATGTTGTGGAGGTTCGCCTCCATCTCTGCGAGCTGGACGTTGGTGACGGGCAGGCCTAGCATCTGTGTGATGTTGGTGATGGTGGTGGTGACGGGGTCGGGCGAGGCAATGTGGAAGAGGGGGTGGGGGAAGGCGATGTGAAAGAGGATTTGACGCGGGAGGAGAAAGAATAAGACGAGCACTTGGCACGCATATACAAGCACACTCACACATACCGGTATATACACGCATTCCGATATACACTGTCCTCATCATCATTAGCCATTATCTATCTACTGCTGGATTACGTATACATAATTTAGAAAAATCTTCCCTGTACCTCAGTCCTACAGTACAGTACGTACAATGTTTTGTCAGTTGATAGGCTGTACCGGCCTTTTGGATTTACAACTCGTAGCATTTGTTAAAGCTTGGAAATTCTACATCTGTTTCGACCTTCCTAGGCTTGGATAATTCAGTGTATAGACAAAGGTCCCCTCTATAGCCTGCACAGACTGTTGGGAGCAAGTGCTGTTCGCGACCACCTATGACGGCCGGCACGGCACACGAGGGGGTAGGTGGCCAGCACCATGTCCATCCGCCTTTGTCCCCTAGTAGCTGTGTTTACACACCGCACCAAGTAATCATTTGAGGATGAGTCGACCTAGGGAAGGCCCAGGAATGGTCAGGATAATCGCCACTGGTACCATGAGCGGGAATCAAACTCAGGTCCCCGGGTTCGCTAACCGCTACATTATCACATGCACACTTACACATGGACATAAGCATTTATGCACCAATACGTTTACCCAGGTAAAACCATGTTCTCTATAGCCGTACATGCTTGTTGGGGTAAGGGATGTTTGCGAGCACCTATTCTGGATGCATTTATAGGAAAAAAAATAATCACAGATATTTAAATATTTTGTCTGTTAAGTTATTCTATCTAATTCGTGTAGTGTATTCCCACTGTTTACTGTAATGACCATATCATCAGAAAATCAGCCATGGTTAATATTTATCCCCAATTTTTATCAGAATAAATATAAGCATAACCAAGGTCATGTGCGATATGTCCTAATAAACAAGTGAAAATATCTGTTGATGGGACAAAACTTGGAAAACACAACAGAATATATGTATTAGCATTTAATTACCCTTGGCAGTTATTGAAGGCTGACTGGGACCAAATTAATTCAATAAAGAGGCAAAGGAGAGTCGGGTTTGGAGTGCTTCTGAAAAACTGAACTTGATAATGAAAATGCACAAGTACCAATTTGCCTGACGGAAATGTGTTATTCGTGTGCTTATTACCTGCTATCGCATATGGATCACAAACATGGACATTGACAAAGACGATAGGAATCAAAAGCTGAAAAGTGTGAAAAGAAGCATGGAGACATGAATGCGTGGGATGACAATGAGAGACAGGAAGAGCAACGCACGGATTAGAGAACAAACACAAGTTGTAGACATCGCACTGATGGTTAATGAAGGGGCTTGGAGAGGACACGGACCCCAGACGGGATGATGTGTGTTGAACTTCTTTCTTACTGTACGCAGCCCACCGTGCTAATCGGAGGTGCGGGGTAAAGGACAACAAATTAAACAAAAGTTTTCAATAAATTATTTTTCAATCCAGATTTATAAAGTACGTAGCTCCCAGTGATGCAGTAATTTTAGCTGTGACGGTCCCACCTGATGACGGAGACTTGTGTTGCCTCCGAAACGTTGTGATTTATTATTTTATTTCTATTATTACTTCCATTAATTTTATTTTTTACCTACGTGACTTTACCGAAAAAGCCTAAGAGTATAAATCCTTGCAGTCACGAAAGCTTCAAATCTAGAATCGGAAGAGTGTTCCAGATAGCCACAGAATCGCCTCTGAAAGCGCGCGATGCGGTGACCGTCTTTGTTCGACGGTTAGCCAAAAGCCTGCTGCTGCGAGGATAACCGAAGTTTGCGTGACTGTTTTACACGCTTCTTGACCGGTGGTCGAGTCCCAACGATGGGGTGGCAGCTAAGGGAGGGAACGCACTCAAGAAGACGTCCACCACGGAGATCGATGCAATCAGATAATTGTTTTTTTACCCTTCTATCTGGCAACAAAACTGACACCTTTTTTACGAGGAGTCATGTTTGCATAGACCACAATACCTGCAGTCAAAATGCAAACAAAAAACACAACTCTGATAATGTATGCACCGTCCTTGAAGTTGATTGGTCCACACCCGAGACAGCTTTCCTTAGAGCCTAGTCTCACATGGTGTTGGACCAGATGACGCCAAAAGGCGCACAACTCAAAGACAATGCACCATCAGAGTATGAGAGCTCACTCCTCGTAAAAAAAGGTGTCAGTTTTGTTGCCAGATAAAAGGGTAAAAAAAAACAATTATCATATTTTTTGCTGGCAAATGAGGTACCAATGGTGTAGATGAAATCAGTTCATGTGGAGGAGCTGCTTGATGGGTTGTTGCATCGCAAGTCTGCTCGGGAAAGGCCTTGATCGCACAAAGTTAATCCTGAACAAAGTTTTTTGGAAGAACATATAAACTGTCATCCATACGAACATTTTTTTTATAGTTTTAAATCAAAGAATATTTAAATACATGAACAAAAAAGTGGAAAAAAGCCAGTGACAGACGAGAGATAGACACAGAATGCTGCCCCAGGGTCTGGGGCGCATGACCTCGAACCACGCGGAGCTAAATCTGGAAGACTGACTGCCAATTTCAGCAGCCACATTTCACTGTGGTCATATGACTTGCATTAAGCGTAAGAAAGTTTTGAGTTAAAAACCTCTAGTGTGCAATCGACTTACGCCAGCCATAGCTAAGTTACTGCATGATTGTTGGCTCACATTAGTTTATTATGAATAAGTTAGAATTGTAGTTGAACCCTGGTCTGAAACAACGCCACCACTATTCTCACCATCACACCATCATACTATCACAATACATTAATTAGCATCACCATGTGGTACATCATCAAACAGTGGTTGTTTCTTACTCTGGTTTAAAAAATATATTTTATTTTATTTTTCACCTACGTGACTTTACCGAAAGAACCAAAGAGTATGGATCCTTGCAGTCACGAAAACTTCAAACCTAGAGTGGTTGTCCTATTTTGAGAGACCGCCTGCCATGGGAATGTGAACTTTCTATCGCCAACTCTGGGCAGCGCCACCGGTCACCCCTGTGGACCTCACGGTGGCGCTGCGCAAACAAGTGGCGCTTGCGAGCACCCATTAAGCCATTCCCACTGCCCTGCAAACTGCACTGCCCCATGCCCACCGCCTACGCCCATGTCATCCAGGCCCCGTCTCATGCACTGCCACCGACGCCTAAGCCTTGCCCCCTGCCTTGCCCAGGTTGCCCAGACCATAACGATGCCCGACTGCCACAGTCACGTCCACTGCCGTTTGGTTCCTCAGTCGCATGCAATGCCACCCACGCATATCGTTACCTGCTCTCTCTCTCTGTGCCACTCCTCGTGCATTGCCGTGCCCACCACCACCACCAGCCCGCCCGCCCGCACCCGACTGCCTTGCCCCAGTCACCCACCTGCTGGGCCCGCGCGAGCAGCAGCCAGAGCCGGCGCCACGTCGAGAACTTCTTCTCGTCGCCGAAATTCCGCGCCATCTCCGGGGACGCGTAGCGGCTCACGAGGGGCGAGCGATACTCGGCGTGAGTCTCGCTCATCTCTGCCTGAGGCGCGGAGAAGTTGGAGGCTCTGGAGGTGACGATCCGCGAGTCTGCACGGCGACTCACCGCGCGCCGGGAGTATTTTTGTAGCAGCGGTCACCTCTGACCCCCCGCCGCCCCACGCTGAGTAAGAAGGGGCGTGGCTAGGGAAGAGGAAGTGACGTAGACAGAGGTGGGGAGGGGGGAGTGGTTGCCATGGGAATGGACAAAGCTAAACGCGCTTCGCCGAGATTACGCGATATCATAGTTCACGATACGGTGTCAAATATCGCGATATTACGATTATTGCGATATCATTGTTCACGATGCGGTGTCAAATATCGCGATATTACGATTACCGCGATCTCATAGTTCACGATACGGTGTCAAATATCGCGATATTACGATTACCGCGATATCATTGTTCACGATACGATATGAAATATCGCGATATTACGATTACCGCGGAGTCGGTAACGTGTATTTCTCGCTATGGAAACCACGAAAAAAAGCGTGCTCTGCGCACGCGATGGTTGCCACGATGTATTTCGCGGTGCGATATTAAATATCACGATACGACGATTATCGCGATATAAACAACAATTGACTCCGTGCAAGTGGTTGTTTAACTTTCTCATCGCCGCGTGCTTTTCCGTTCACTCTTGCAAGTTAAGAAATGTGAAATTTCGATTTGAAGCTTTCGTGACTGCAGGGATTCTTTTTCTTGGTTCAGTCACGTAGAATGGAAATAATAAAATAATAATAAAAATAAAACAATAAAATTCTCACGACGTTTCGATTGCAACACAAGCAATCACCATCAGGTGTGAAAACCACAGCAAGAAAATATCTCTCTCGCTCTCCAAATGGGCTCCCAATGTACTCTGTCTCTTTAAAGAGTCTCTACCCAGAGACTCCCTCTGCTTATCCCTAGGGGGGGGGGGGGGGGTTTCCTCCCATTCTCGAGTCGTTAATTCCTCCATGAAGACCGTCTCTATCTCTGCCCTTCCACATGTTTTCTGAAGGGCCTTCATCTCTCCATCCTTCCTCGTTGTGTCCTGAGAGCATTCGTCCACTTCCATCTCTCCCACTTTCCATCTCTCTCACTCCCCATCTCTCTCACTCTCGACCTCTCCCACTCTCCATCTCTCCCACTCTCCATCTCTCCCACTCTCCACCTTTCCTACTCCCCATCTCTCCCACTCCACATCTCTTCCACTCCTTATCTCTTACACTCTCCATCTCTCCCACTCCCCATCTCTTCCACTCCCCATCTCTCCCACTCCCCATCTCTCTCACTCTCCATCTCTCCCACTCCCCACCTCTCCCACTCTCCATCTCTCCCACTCCCCATCTCTCCCACTCCCCATCTC